ATACATTTCTAAAATGATGTAAAATGTCTGATGACAGTTCTCTGGCTCCAACACGGACAGAAGACATCAGAAGTATAAATGTATATAATATATAATATAATTAGTCTCTGTCTCACCTCGTCACCGTCCAACGGTTTGTAGGTCTCCCTCAGTTTGGTGAAGGTTCCCTCGATGCCGGCGTGCTCCGTCACCTTCAGGGCCGCCTTGAACATTTTGGGGGTGTCGGGTCTGGCTGGGATCACCTGCATTGCCTCTTTACCCTTCTTCTCGTCCGGCTTCACGTCCTTAGTCAGCATGGTCCTGCAGAGACACAGAGGTAAGAATGAGGGACACTCACAGACCACCTCCCCCCACAGGGTCCAGATACAGACAGAAACTCTTGGTTTCGTACCAACTGCAGCACCTCCAGCACATCCATCCGCTCTGCTGCAGCACCATGACCCGAGTGAGGAGATAAAGCTCCACTGACCTGTCTGCAACAGGAAGCACCTGAGCAGATTACAGGACTAATCCTGATCAGGACAGACCGGGTCAGACGGGAGGAGCTTAACGGGGCGGGGTTGATTTATTTCTTCATTTATTAATAATATTTCTGACTAAAAACACAAAACTTCAGCGAATAAATTAATTAATTTGTTAATATTCAGATAAAAACTTTCTTGTTTTGGTTGAAATATTCTTTTAAAACCTGATGATTTTAAGACTTTTTGTGAAGTAATATGGATTTTAAATGTATAATTAAAGATTATTATTTACTTATTTACTTTTGTTTCATTCATATTTATTGTTTTTATATTCATATTAGTAATTCCCTGATTCTTCCTCTGACCCCGATCATAATCACTTCAACGTTTGTATTGTTTAATGTTTCTGTCCGTACGTCTGTTCACTCTGATGTCATCCTGTATGTAAGTTTACAGGTTTTTTTCTGTTTTTTTCTGTTTCTTACAAAAATATCCTGTGAATTTACATCTAAAATAAATGAAAAATCTGTTACTGTAAATAATCATAAGGATTACATTTTTACATAAAAAGATTAAAATACATTTGCAAAACTAGTATTTCTGCAGATATTAACTGTTTATTTATTAGATGAAACTATTAAATTCAAGTTTAATATTGTAATTTCACAGATTATTACAGTTCTGTGACTTTTAAAATTCAGATTAAAATAATAGAAATCCAATAATAACAGCACTCAACAACAGCCTGATTATTTTTATTATAGCAGAGTTCACCTGTATAGATAATTGTTTTTATACTGTACATATCTTTAATTAAACATTAGAAAGATAAAACTGTATTTTAATTATAGAACTTACTGTATTTTAATAAGTCAGTAAAGTTATTATACTGTATATTTTGGCTCCCGAGCTGTCGGGATATATCCGTTGTTTTACATTGATTATGTTTTTTACAGTGTGCTAAGCAGGACCAGGAATAGAGGACACACAGCGGGTTTAAAGTCCTTGGATTGGTTGATTTTAAATATCTTTTACTCCGAGGTCTGGCCCCGGTTTATATGTCACACATGTTCACAGTGTGAGAACCGGAGATCCTCCCGAACCAGCCGGTTTGTAGTTTGAGCGGATAAGGACTACGTTTTCTTACACCCCTTAAAATCAACAAGGCCTCCGGGGAAGCTTTGGCGACCCCTAGTGGAGGTTGGGTGAAACAGGTAATTAGTAACTGTATCAAATTACATTTTTATAGTCACTCTCTCAGCGGTAATTTAGCCCATAAATGAATTATTACAATGAAACATGAGGTTCTGGGCGGCGCCTGTGTTAAAGGATAGATCTTCTGGTGCCCATAAAAGTTTCCACTGATCAACTCTCTGCTGCTGATCAATAAAACGGAGCACAGAGTTACACAGGTGAGCTGATCCAACCTCTGTGCTTCCTGTGTGTTACAGTGTCACCCTGAACTTTGACCCTTGAGCCAGGCAGCTGCTCGGGGACTTACTTGGCCTTCTTGCGGAGGAGTTTCTGGGACTCCGGGTAGTGCACAAGGATCTCTGCCAGGTCCTTTTTGTCCAGGATGAAGAGGTTAGCGAATCCGTGCGCCTTCACGTTGGCTGTGCGTCGGTTCCCTCCGCCTCCCGCCAGCAAGCTGACCAATCACAGGAAACAGAGCGCTGTCACACAAACACCAGGGGGGTAAAAGTGAACTGCACCTGGACGCTGTGGGGGCAGCACGGTGCAGATATACCAACTCTTACATAATTTTTCTGAAAGGAGGCAGCATTTAAAGGAACAGTGTGAAGGATCTACTGGCCTCTCGCGGCAGATTACAACCAGCTGCAAGCATGTACATATATATATACACATATATGTGTGTGTGTGTGTGTGTGTGTGTGTGTGTCTACCACCTGGCTGTCCCACATGTAAATTGGTTAATAGGATGACAGGAAGCAGCTCTGACCTGATCTCTCCGAACACCGAGCCGGCTCTGATGGTGACAAACACTATCTGCAGGTCAGGACCGCCCACCACCTGAACCTCCCCCTGTTTAATGATGTACATCTCCCTGCCGATTTCCCCCTGCACACGCACACACACACACACAGTGGTCAACACAAACTGCAGCAGCTCTTTAACAGCTTTAACCCTTAAGACAGGTATGTGCTCACCTTTTTACAGACAAAGTCTCCGGGCAGGTAGACGACAGATTTGAGCCTCGTCAGCATGTCGAAAATCATCTGTCTGTCACAGCCCTGACAGAGAGACAGACATACAGACAGATTTCAGTGTGTCATTCAGACATTTTAAGCTCATTACTTGCTCATTTTGTACAGAATTATTAATATTAAACATACAGAATATTTCTGCAGACAACAATCAAAATGTTTTATGTTTATGTTTCATTTCTGTGTTTTCTGTCCTCCTCACCTGAAACAGCGCGACTTTGCTGACAATGGCGTAGTTGACGTCCACAGCGATGTCCAGCCTCATCTTAGTAGGAAGTTGTATCAGCAGCTCCTGTTCGTCTGCATAAGAGACACAGTAAGTAACTGTACGTATACCTGTATGCTGCTGTACTTTAGTATTGTCACTGTTAATGTCATATGAGATATGAATGTGACTCCCAACAAGCAGAATAATGTGTATATTTTGTAAGGAAGACGTTATTATAACACACTTCTACTTAAACAGAATATTATGTGATTTATTTTACATAATAGTTAGTTAGTGGAAGTGAACAAAAACTAAAATACTGATACTATGATAATACTGAAACTGAAATAATTGCAAAAAAAATGCAATTTCTGGTTGGAAATTTCATGTTATAAATGAAAACGACGAACATTCAAGTTCCAATACAAAATTAATAAACAATGAGTTGTATAATGTATAAAAATAGAGGCTCTGTTCTTTTTATATTTTATTCACTGTTTCCATATTCATTGAACATAATATTCTATGAAAGATTAATCAATATGATCAAAATTCTGGTAGTGGCTGGCAACGTATGGAGTAATGATCAATATAGTCAGTTATTTTCTGTAATTTCACAGGATTTTTTTAACCTATGTCATCCTAGTAAAAGCAGTCGAGTCAGAGCTTGCGGGAGACTTCTGAATGACGCAGACTGGAATTAGAAGAGCGTATACCCAATGCCGACTGAAAAATACTCCATATAACTGATCAGTTACTACCTGCAGTTAGTGGTTAGTTTGCAAATTTGTAAATTTTGCATACAAAACATGTTATTCTTATATAATATGTTGAATTTTTAAACATTCAACTAACTAATATACATATATATAAAAATATAAAGTTACATAGCAAACCATCAGAGCTGGTCTGGGGTCAACATTGATTAAAATTACCATCATGAATCAAACCCAATATTTTTTTTTTCTCTGACAATCTTTTGTTAGATTTTTTCTTACCCAGCATGCCCTGGATCTTCCAGGTGTAGTCGTACCAGGTCTTGATGCGGTTCTGGACCTCTCGGGGGATGTTGTAGGAGTTCATGTACTTGACGGTGCTGTCCATGCAGGCGCGGTAATAGTTCTCACCGGCTGTCGCAGCTCCGACCACATCTCTCATCTGAGACCGGAGGGGACGCAGTCCGGTTAGTTAGAACTCAAAGATACAGGTCAGAATCTCGTGGACCTTTATCTCATTTTACCTCTTATGGTTTGGATTTATTTCATTTACTGTAGAACACTTTTATTAACAAAGTTTGGTGGTGAACTGACCTGACCGATCATGATAGAGAAAGCAAAGACGCCAACGAAGTAGTTGATGAGCTGGAAGCAGATCTCAAAGACGGTGGTGGGGTCCGGCAGTCCTCCAATGGTTATCAACGTCTTCACGGCAAAATAGTAACAGCGGATGTAACTGTGGGAACAAAAAAACAACTGAAATACCTTCTGAAAGGCCCTAAATGAAAAACCCTGCATGTTCCAAATGTTCAGTAAATGCAGCTTGATAATGCAGATTTGAGATAATCTAATACACGCTTTTCACTGACAGCGATGATACTGTACTCTATTGTTACTAGAAATTAGAAAGAAAGCATGTTTCTAGCTTTGGTTTTAAGTTAAATCAACATTAATGAATTTCATTTTTTTCCTACGTGCAGCACTTCCCCTACATCACTTATTCCCAAACTTTTTCCTTATGGGAACCCTTTTCCATCATTGAGTTAGTATATTTGTATATTTCATATTATATTTAACAATAACAACAACAGCTGATAAACTGCATTTTCTGTGAATATTGATCACAGATGAGTTTTCCTGATATTTTTATAAAATCTTTGTCTATATTATGTATTTTTGAAAGAATTTTTAACAATCATAGAAACTTAATAGGCTTCTTTTCTTGACAAACTTTTTTTTTTACAGCCCTTAAATCAAGAAGGCCTTGCAACCCCTCGTAAAGCTTTGGTGACCCCTAGTGGGGGTTTTGAGCCCCAGGTTGGGAACCACTGCCCTACATATATTTACTCAATAAAGCTTCCTGTGGAGTTTACATTCAGTGTTTCTAACCAGAACCTTCTTCATCAAACATTCACAAAGACACTTTTTAATAAATTTGCTGTCTTCTTCTTCCCTGTCTTTGTTGGTGCATTGCTGCATATCGTGGTGTGTTACCACCACCTGTAGATCAGTGGGGTACTGTGAAACTATCTCGTCACCTGCATGGTCATATAAGAGCATTGAGAACAAAGAAAACAGGGACTACTCATACAAACAGTACATACATACAAAAGTTCACTAGTGTGAAGTAGAATCAGATTACTGTGTGCATCATAAACTTGTTCAGAGAGTGATGGCGGGTTCTTACGCGTTGCCTTTTCCATTGTAGACCCACTTGGTGGATCCCAGTCCTTCATAGTCGGAGCCCCAGTAGAAGAGACAGGCGTTGATGTGCAGAGAGTACAGCAGGTAGGTGGAAGTTCGGATCACCCTGACACACACACACACACACACAACAAGTTGAACATTTAATGAAATTAATGCACTAGAATCATTCCATGTGGCATTCCTCAAGGATCAATTCTGGGGTCATTGGTGACATTACACCAATCCTTGCTACCCCTCACTGGTTGCAAGTGAGTTTTATTATTGATTTTTATTTTAAAGCCTTGAGTGAGCTCCCTGTATACTGATTTCAGGCAGGCAAATTCAGTGTCCTCCTTGAATCTTGTCTTTTTCTTGATTAATGGTATTTGCTGTAATCTATTAAATAATTTTAACTTGTTTATATCTTTAGTTGTAGAGCTCATTACGATTATTTTAGTGTTTACTGTAAAGCCTTTTCGCCTTGTTTTTGAAAGTTGCTGTATAAAGTTCTTATTATTTTAACTTTAATTCATGAATGTATGTCACCAATAATGTTTATTTTTTATTAATAGTTTATGTAAAAGAAAAAAACCTATCTATAGCCAGACAGCTGCTTTGACCACCCATCTCCCAGATTTTTTTTTTGTTTTTTACATTTTTTTCAATTTATGATGTAAAAAACATAAAATATTGTGACATAAAATATTGTGTTTTATGTTCAATATCCCAGAGAGGCTGTGTTTACATCTATTCAATTAAAGAATATCACTAAAATATGTTATTTGTCGCTGAGTGTCCAACTGTTTGCATTCAACTGTATGCTGATGATACACAGTTTTATGTTGCTGTGACTGATACCTCTTTTCAGTTTTTGATGCCTGAATGTCACAAAACGTTCCAAACTTTAATCAGGGTAAAACTAAAAACAAATGACTGCAAAATTACTTTGACTTATTCTGAGCCATCAAGCGAATCGTTTTGGTGTTAAAGTTGACTCTGAACCTGAACTATTGATGAGTTATCAGATCCCACTCAGTTGAAAAATGTATATAAATTGCCAGAATTCTGTCTGTTCAAAGTCTTTTCTTTCACTGCTACTGCTAGCATACCATATAACACTTTGCAGGCTGGATTATTTTAATGCTCAGATATCTGTCTGTATAAAAGCCTCAGTATCTATTGTGTTTGCTAACAAGACATCAGTTTTCCCTTTTTTGTTTACAAAGCACCTTACTGGTGTTTTCAGACAGGACAGACAGCTCCCCCTATTGGTACCTGCTTTGGTTTTTGTCCAACTGTGAATCACATATCTCACCTGTAGATGTACGCTTTCTTCATCACAGCTTCCATTCTGTCGTTGAACTCAAAGAAAGCCATGTACTGAGAGTGAAAAGATGAGAATCATCTTCAACACAGTGCTACAGTATGAGCACGAAACTGAAATACATCGTAAGAAACTGGGAAAAATAAGGCACATACGCAATGGCATAATGGAATAATATAATTACAAAAACTCTAAACTTAAATTAAAACTATACCAAAGAGAGATACTAAAAAAAAATAATGATGAAATAACCAGTAAACATTTGGAAAATGCATTTAACTACTTTACTTTTTTTCTACTTCTTGTTCTTATTGGCAGTTATTTTGCAAAATTCGTGTTGGTTTATTCATTATGGTTCACTTTATTTGGATAGTCCCTCAAGAGATATTTGTATTATATATAGATTATATTTGTAACATTCCAACTCTTTTGTTATGTTTAACAGATTATCTCTAGAGTATATGTGACAATTCATGAACATATCCTAACCTAACCAGTACCTGAACTGGACCAAAAAATGGCTCAGTACCCTAAATAACTGTAACACTAATTATTTTGGTGTTGTTTATCCCTTTTAACTTATTGTTTGTTTCTTTGCCAATCATGGATAATTATTTACAAATGATGTGTCAAAAAATGAAATGTGCACAATACATAATGATATATAATGATGTAATGTTTTTGGTGGTTGTAGATGTCATGGTGCATGGCAAAACAAGTTGGTATTCTTGACATAAAATAGATGAAGTCTCAACAATGAAACACATCCTGACCTTCAGCAAGCGAGGGAATCTCAGCAGAGAGTTCACTCCAGTGAAATAGTAAAATATATCCATAGGAAACAGACTGATGATGTCCATCTGCCAACACACAGCAAACACAGTGTCACAACACTGAAATTTTATGTGAACAGATGAATTAGAAATTCACCATTTCCATATTTAACCAATAAAGAGTGAGATCCTAAATACTTATGTTATAGAATGTATATTTATATTTCATTAAATACCCCCAAAACTGCCATGTTTCCCTCCAAATGTATTGCAAATTTTAAATGAATTTATCCAATGAAAAAATGTACTAAAGAAAGTAGCTATACTAATTCTGCTAGAAAATTAAGAAATGCATCAGGCTCTGCCTTGACAGCAAATGCAGCTGACCACAACAGTGTAGCAGGAACAGCGAACTTGTTGTCAGAGCTAACAGCGCAAACAGAGCCAACCAAGCTAACTAACCACAAACAGCCGTTCCAGACTTGCTGTGTTCGTGCTGGAAACACACAGAGTCCCCCAGAGCTATTCTGGTCTGTTACCATCTGTGTGTCCTTTATTATGTCCTGCAGTGTAATTCCATATGAGACATAATTATAAAGATACTTCTGGCCCTTCAGAAGCCTCTTCTCTACCTACTAATGGTAAAGAAGAGGCAGCAACCTCTGTATACTTCTTGACTTGAGTTGTCGTTTGATGCTCAGGTGACTAAAGTGATGCAGTCCTGCTTCATCCAACTGACACTAAACCAAGATCAGGTTGTTCCTTTCCTCTGCAGCTCATCCATGTTTTTATCGCCTCCAGGCTTGACTATTGCAACTTTATTCTCCTATCAGCAGGCGAAACATCTAAAAACTGTCAGACTTTTCACTGGTCAGAAGTGATTTTAATATTTCACTGCTGATTCTACTGTTCTGTAATTAAGACCACCTTTGTCGAGTCCAAGACAAGCCCAAGTCAGAGAGATAGAATCAAGGCCGAGACAGAAAAAAGCTGTGCCATGAATGCTTTTCTGAAAAGTGCTTCATCGATGGTTTTTGTTTTGAAGGAGAAAGTTTCTTCTGAAAAAAATGGCCAAGTTGAGTGCAAATACCAACGAGTCCGATACAATAGAAAAAACTCTCCTTAAAACTCACTTCTATCATATGTGTTTGAAGTGATGGTATTTGTTGTAATTATTGAAATTATTTGGGAACCATGGCTTTAATGTTCTGGTCTTCCATATAACATTAACTATTATAGTATTTTGTCTGCTTTATCTTCAGGTTCAGTCTTACCTTAAATCTTTCCGTGGTCATGTAGTTTTCTCTCATGTCCTTTTTATCACACTGAAATAAAAAAGTTCCAGGTTAGAGAAGCCGTTTGTGCTGAACTAAAATCAAAAAGTCAGTTTTAAAATATTTCTGTTGTAATGTTTCACCGACCACAATGTCTCCACCGCGGACGAACTGCAGTCTGGGCTGGAAGATTAGGATGTCGGTGATGTAGATGAGGTCACAGGTGTAGTCCATCATCAGCCACAGGTGAATGTTTTCAGGGGTTTGGTACGGAAATGCCCAGCGGACGGGGATCAACCACACGTTCCAGTTCCACGCCGCCACAACAACGAACAGCCAGAGTACATAGATCAGATCTGTGGAGATGGATATGGAAAAGAAGAGTACAAATAGTGCACTTGACAACAAATGAATGCATCATTCTGAGCCATTCTGCATCATCAGTACTTTTACTATTGGTATTTTAAATATATTCTGATACTAATACTTGATATTAATATACTTAAATGTCCAGTGTGTAAGATTTAGTGGCATATAGCGGTGAAGTTGCAGATCACAACCAACTGAATACTCCTTGCCTTCCAAGTGTGTAGGAGAAACTACCATGATTGCAAAACTCTTTATCCTTTGTCCTATATCCTACAATATTAACAAAATGATGTGATTTGAGTAACCTTTTGATTTTATATTGAGTAATCAACCTGCTCATGGGGCACTGCTAACGTGGCAGCCCCATCACTCCACCATCTTTCCCCTTTGCCTGTCCACATGTGCATGAAGTGTGCACTTTCAGGGCTGTGTGTGTGTGTTATAAAAAAAGAGTGAAAAAATCCCCTGAGGGAAATCCATAAAGTATATCCTTCTTCTTCTTCTTCTTCTTCCTTCTTCTTCCTTCTTCTTCTTCTTTCTTCTTCTATGATTTATATCTACTCAGTGCAAACTCACAGCTTTGAATTTAGATGTGCATCTAAGATACAGATTTAAAGCATTAGCAAAATGTTGAACTCTCTGTTTAATTTCAGTTGATACCAGAAGGCGTGTTGTAGATAAAGAAAAAAGCCCAGCTCTGCTCACCGGTGAAGGGGTCGATGCTGGAGGGGAAGCGGTACTCCACGATGACTCTGAGCCAGTCGGGCAGCTTGGGAAGTTTGGGCAGCTTGGGTATTTTTACTGGCTGTCCCAAAATTGTAAATGGGAGCACCATCTCCTTCTCCTCCTCCTCTTCTTCTTCTGCTGCAGCAGGAGCATCTTCTTTTTTCTCTTCTCCTGGTGGAGGTGGAGGTGGAGGAGGAGGTGGAGCTTTGCTCGGGGCTGCAGAGATTAGACAGTATTCTTAGAACGTTATTCTGATGATTCTGCACAGATATCAAGTGAATGTCAAGCTGAAGAAATCAGATCAGAGTTAAACGTTAATTCTCAGCCTGGGACAGTCATTACATACAGGTTGAGGGACTTTCTTCCTCAGACTCGTCCGGGTCCACTAGCCGCTCTTTTTGGTGCTCTGTCCGACCTTTAAACAGCCCGACGAGCTGGTACAGACGGTCCTGGATCACCACGCTGCCGACGCTGGCTGCTGAAAGAGGACGAGTCCTGGGGACGACAATGACAGGACAAAAGACATGGAGGATGGAGGTGACAACAGTTGGAGGACGAAGTGTGTTTGTGTGTGGTGTCTCTCACCATTCATCTGCCGTCAGTAGGTCTCCCTGATTGCCGGTCTTCAGACTGATCCTCATCAGTTCCTCATCATCGTCCTCATGGGGTTGGGGGGTTGTGATAATTTGGGGGATGTTTTGGTCCTCCACCTTCAGCCTCCCTGAGGAACACACCAGTATAACAGTTTGACCACAGGTCACATCTTACTACAGCAGTGACGACTTGTAGAGGCTAAAGGGCATCCTTACAATTAAAACATTTTATTATCTAAAAATACCCCAGTACAGCTGGTGTGTATGATGTACATGCAAAAAATGTGAGACAGTGGAACTAGCTACACATAGATAGATATAGATAACATATTTGATTCTACCGTAGCTACAAATAGCTAGCATGTATATGTTTTAGTTTACGTATAGTAGTTTATAAAAGTTAAAAAAACACTTCCATTTACCGATGAAGACCATGAGAAGTGGCTGAAAGCTTCCAGTGAGAAGATTAGAGATTTTATCACAACATAAAGTCTGTTTCTGGATTGGTCTCCCAAATTATCAATTGATCAGTTAACACATTTCTTTTTTTCTTTTATTCTCAGAATCATGCAGTGATGTTGTTGTTTATGCCGCGTTCAATGCATATTGGAGCTATTGGAATTACCAGTTTCTGACCTGTATATTCATCTAAGGTGTAATAAGATATTAATATTAATATATTAATATTAATGTGTTTTACTGTCAATTCACAGTGTTTGTAACCCTCACATGACCGACTCTCCATCCATCCCATATGATGTGAATAAATATTTTCACAGCACAAACATCCACTTCCTGTAATATCACCTTAAGTGTGGTCAGCTGGCAGCTCATGGTGAAGCAGCGCAGAGCAGCGGAGCATGATGGGAGTGATGATGAGCAGGATGTTAGTGATGCAGAGGGGTTTGTTTGGCACTTTAAAGGTTTCCATCTACACAGGGTGTCTATAAGGTTTCTCTAAGGGTCGGCTGCAGGAGTACGGGGTTAAGGCTGCTGAGGATGCTGGGAGTTGGAGTAAAGGCATCTTAAGCGGCTGACGAGGCTCATGCAGCACTGTCGCGCCAGCTTGGGGAACTGCGAGAGCTCCTGGGTCAGCTGGGTGAGCACTGGCGGCGGGGTCGGCATGGACAGTTTGGGAGGGGTGAGGTGATGGCGATGCATCAGCGTCCTGCAGCTCTCCAGACACTCGGCAGCGTGCGGGAATTGAAGCAGAAAGCTCTTTATCGGAGAACAAATGTCGGGAACTGGACCGAGAAACAGTCAGAGTCAAAGACAGGTTACAAATGTAAGCTCATTGATTGTGTCAGTTAGCACAAAGGTCACTGTTTAGCTCTGTTTTTGTCCTGTAATCAGACATAATATCTGACAACTTCACAATTCTAATAAAATGCCAATTAATTTAGGTGAACCTCAATTCTACATGTTGATATGATCCATCAAATGCAACTATTCTAATCAAATAAATCTTCATTTTCAAACACACCCATTTTTAAGCTAGTAAGAGACTTTGACAGTGACATAGCTGGTGGGAAGGAAAATAACTCAGGCTTTTATGTATTTATGTTTCTCCTTCAGGTGTGACTGTTGCAAAAATCTTTTTTTCAACACTCACCTCCGTTTTCACCCTCTTCTTCTTCACCTGCTGCACAGGCCTGAGAGAAGGAGAAAGAAAGATGTCATGTAATTCACTGCATACCAACGCGCAGATGATGTCCTAAAAGTACTTTGGATGAAATCACAAGATTCAGCTCCATGACAATAGAGCAGACTCCATATGCGGATGACCACGTGATACAGTTGGAAGCTCGGGTAAACAAAGCTGTTGTAGGAGTTTTGCATGAATCATTTTTATGTTTAAAAAAGAAATACTGCAAGGCAAGAGACGATCCACAATAAGCCATGTATTATTGAAAAATAACACACAGTGGCCAATTAAGTAAATTTGTCTCTGTGATTACGTTTATGTAAATGCATGGCTTGCCGCAGACCTGGTCACTTGCTAGCAACCAAATCCGAGTATTGGTTATTTATATTTTTGTTAAGTGTCCTCCTCAAAAGTTAAAGAATACTTTGATTTTTGTCATTTTGTCCATCATTCCTATCAGTGACAAGAACACTGTACTCACCAAGTTCATATCTGGGAACATAGAAAACAGCAGTTAGACGATTAGACAGGTTAGAAACAAACCAACAGTTTATCCATTTTATCTACTTTGTTAGAAGATAAAACCTAAAGTGAGAATCCCTGAAATGTTCAACAACAATCAGCAATAATCTCATTGCAGCCTGGTGAGTACAATGTTTTTATATCTCATAGCAATGATGGGAAAAGCTGTAAGAATAAGACAGAAGTGGGAATAAACCATAATTGTCCTTAAACTATTCTGCCAAAAAATGTGCAACAGTTACTTCACTACTCCAACCAGTAGGAGCAGCTGTGGGCTGTAAGCATCAACCTAATGAGGATAATATGTTATAATAGACACTGAAAAACACCCTCCAGCCAAACAGAATACAAGAAGCTCTGTGGTATAAAGGTATGTCTGCTAGATGTAGAGTTTCACTAACTGAGTCCTCTGGAGCTTGTGACTCTGGTTGCTGGGTGACAGCTTGGGAAGATGGACTCTCCAGGTCTCTCCTCTCCGATGCTGGCTCCACATCTGTTGATAAAAGGGTGGCATCATCTTCGGCCGGACAGACTTCTACCAGGCACCTGGTGAAGACGAGCAAGTGTCAAGAATGACTGAAAAGCAGAATAAATCTACTGATAAGCCACAAAACAAATCCACTGGTATCCTTGTATTCACATAATAGTTGGAGAACTCCCCTGTGGAACTGTTAAGGTATGTTCACATACAGTGTAGGTAAAGCGACATTTAGAGGGGGTGCTAATGCATATAAACTCAACAAAACCAAAAGATGAATCCATTATCCATATTTGTCAGGATATTTTTCCTCTGGACCAAAGTGACTGACTACTGACTTTCCTCTGGACCGAAGTGACTGACTACTGACTTTTCCTTTCCTTTCCTAATACAGGCTTAAGGTTCATATGATGCAGTGTAACGTAAGCTGATAGTAGTTTTTAGGTTGAAAGTGCAGTAACAAATTCAGGGAGTTCGTCTTTACAGCAGATAATTTAAATTTTATAAATAGCAATGTATGAAATGACCTTTACGAAAGCAGTTAAAAACAGCTAAAGAGACAAGAATATTTAAGATATTTTCTAGAGATCAAAAACAGCTAAAAGAGTGAATACTGGACTTACATTCATCAGGTAACAAAAACACAACACCAAATGAATGATTGTGTCGCTCCGTAACTGCTGGATGTGTAAATAAGCAACTATTGGCTAACAAAGTCACTGTATCGAAATTATATATGTTAATGTCATGCTTACAGCTTGATACTGCTGACCCCAAATGGCCTCAAAACCTTTACAGCAAGTTTAACTATACCTTTATCATACTCTATTCAACATGTGCACTTACTGTAGGAACAACCAACTGAACAATGTTAGCAATAAAGGTTAAAAAATGGACAGGGAACATGATTTTCCTTCCTAGCCCAGGGTAACCTGCCTGTTGGACATACTTGAATTTACGTCCACAGGAGCTTGTGGAAGCAATGAACGAACCACATGGTTCTTTCAATAAAATCCTTTAATTTCTGTCACTTCCCACACATCGTAGACATAGGTGAGGGTCTGAAAACAGACCGAGTGGTAATTGACGAAGTTCAACCTACAGACTCAGCTCCCATTTCACACCCTGAGAGGATGAGGCAGACTTGGAGGAAACCTTGCCTTATTGGCAGACGTCACAGAGTTTAGCCAAAAAAGGTCAGCAGTGGTCAGATTTGCCCTCAGATACACAAATTGTTGTCAGACCCTTGGTTGTAACTGTTTCTAAAGGGGACTTCCAGGGAGATAAAGTGATGCACAACAGACCAGCTCTTACAAAGATGGAAAGATTGGAAGATGCATGGGGGTTTACCCAGTGCAGGACTTCAGTTCACTCAGAAAGACCAGAAGAAATAAAAAGCTTAGTAGATCTGCTGGTACAGAGGTACAAGCTGTTGATTGAAAAATGATGCATGCTTACAGAACTCCACAAGAGGATTATAATAATATAAATATAATAATGTATATAATGTTATATGGTCTACAGATAAATTGGATCCAAATCATACGAATTATGATAGTATTTCTCCATCTAATTGCAGGTGTAAGCCTTTGTATGGCTGAGCTTACTGGTCTGGTTTTTTCTCTTCCTCTACAGTTTTGTTATTCACTTTATTTTTCTCAGGACTCCTTTTGTCTGTGCTGTCTTCACTGTCCTCCTGCAGGTTCTGCAACCTGAACGATGTGCAGCAAGGGGAAAACAAGATAGAGAGCCCCTGTCACAAAGTTCAGCTCATTGTGTCAGAGAGCAAGTAGTTGCTACATGGAGCAGCATCCAAGTCAAAGAGCAGCAGAGCTTTAGGTTTTTGTAAAATAAAAAAAGGGTATGGCGGTTTAATACTAACTTTGCCAGCAGAGGGTGCTCAAAGCAAAGAAATGGCATAATAAAGTACAGTCAATGTTATAGAAAAACACAATTCCCATATTGACATGCATGTTTTTTGTTAAATAATTAGTCACTTAGTTTGTATTTCAGTGACATTTGAAAGTGATTGGGAACTACATTTGAACTTCAGTTATGGGGATAACGAGAGGCCGCCCAAATCAGGATCAGACATTCCTGCCAGATGAAGACTGAAACTTAATTTCAAACACATTTGACAAAATATTATGGAAAATGAAAGACCATGGAAGTTGCCCACTTCTAGGTTACTTGCATCACTGCAATACTATAGGAAACCTGCTCTCTAAGGGACTACAATAAAGCAATACCCTGACTACAAACCCTCCTAATACCTCATATCTCACAGTCAAACAAGAATATAGAGGTTAGTTTCGTCCCTTTTTGATCCAGTACAAATATATAGACGGGTGCCAAATGTAACCCAACATAAAAGGTGTTGCAAATGATGAATCTGACCTAGCCAGCATTTCAGTTGAGGCAGAATCTGCAGTAGCGGTAGCTAGAAGCAGTTAACTCAACATAACAGCAGTATATTAGACAGCAACAGGAATATAGACTTACTCTGGCTCATCCTCATTTTCCTCCTCCAGGATGTTGGGCAGTCTGTTGAGAACAAACAGGCATGTTACTGGAGGATGTCAGCTCAGAATATACAGTGTTTGGGATGTGTTTTTGTCTCCAATTGTACATGTAGTCTGCATGTACTGTATATGCACTGCAAAAATAATGTCTCTAACTAATTTAATCTTATATTCTCTTTAAACTATTGCTTGGGCAACCCGTCCTTTTGGCTGGACGGTATGTGTATATATGTGTATCCTGTATGTGTTTGTCACTTACTGCTCGTTTGACTCTGGCAGTGTTTCTATGACGATCTTAGCTGAATGCTCCACCTCCAGCTGTCGGACTGCCTCTTCCGCTGCCTTTCTGGCCATCTCCTCTGCGATGCGAGCTGCCTCCAAACGCTCCTGCTGTAGTCTGTACACCAAGAAAGAACACAAGTGGTCACAGTTACAGTTAAATGTAGAGTTTAAACAAAATAAAGATGAAATCCAACCTAGCACTGAAAATGAAAAACCCTAAAATAACAAAGTCCTTCAGTTGTCACCCTGGATTGTCAACTGGGAGACATTTTCATTCTTAGTGCACTTGTTGGACAAAAAGATCAAACAGAAAAAGGAACATAGAGTAAATAAGGCAGAGAGAGTAGTCACTAACCTTTCCTCCATTTGAGCTAAAACTGCTCCTCCAGCCTCCTTCTTGATGCTGTCTGTCACTGGAGTCATCATCTGGGTCTCTGTCTGCAACCAACCACAGAGAGGGAACTCACTCACATTTGCTTAACATTAAAAAATCTCTGTTGATTACTAATTTAGTAACTTTTCAAATATCTTAGTACTGTTGCTATTATCACAATTACCCTATGTGCCATGTTACCTACCATGGTAAAACCTGCTACCCTTTAGAGTACCATTGTACCTCACCACCATTGTCACTATCATGGTATCCTCTAATGTAGGTACAAAGCAGGTACCTTGGCACTTTGAAGGGTACTTCTAGTGTAGTACCCTTGTAGCCAAAGTGCTATTGCACCACAATGGTACTGCCATGCTAACCTTGGTACTACCATGGTGCCCTTATAAAGATGGTATATGGTATACAATGATTGTTGATTGTTCATTTTATGTCTTGTTAAATTGTAGAATTGTCTTATTTTTATATCTTTTCTATGCTCCTATTCTTTCTTATTGCATTTTTGCACCGGGTACGACGAGGACTGAAATTTCATTTGTGCTTATGCGTGCATGTATAGCACATCTGACAATAAAGTTGACTTGACTTGACTTGACTTGACAATGGTATAATCCTGCTACCCCTCATTGTGCCATGGTACCTCTCTTGGTGCTAGCATGGTACCCTTCAAAGTGTCATGGTACATACCATGGGATATACCTTGTACCATCTAGAGTACCATGGTACCTACTCCATCAAACCCCTCAAGAATAAGAGTAGCATAGTAAGAACCTTCCACACTTCCAAGGTTAGCATGGTAGTACCACAGTAGGTACCATAGCATTTCGAATGGATGGACTAGAATAGTACCTTTATAGCGAAAATGCAATGGTAAATACTGTGGTATTATAATAGTACCATTTTAAGTTCTATGGTACCCACTCTGAAACTACCAAAGTACTCTTCCCAATGGTATCTACAATGGGATTTACCTGGTACTCTGAAGTACCACAGTGTTTACCCAGGTACTATCATGGTACCCTTCAAAGAGCCATTGTACCTACCTTTAATTACAACCATTGCACTCTTAAGCCTCATTTCAACTGCATGGTATTACTTGGCATCACTCAACTTGACTCACTTTGGTACCTGATACTTTTCTTGATTTCATTTTCCACTTTAGATAGAACCCCCTCAATGTAAGTGGGAACTGTAAGTTCAATAAAATTTAATTGAATTCTTAGCTGATCGTCATATTGAGATCATGTGAAAGTGCGTCACTTCCTCTTCAACACGACCCAAACGCAGAAGGTTGCTGGATGTCCTGTTTGATTCATGTGACCCTTCTAGTGATGATCCTCTCTGACCAATGTGGTGTGCAGTGTTGTAACTCCACCTTTTAGTGGCTCAGCTTCCGAATCGAATTAAATTTTAATTATTTCTTGACTTATTCACAACATATCATTTATTACCAGTGTTGGACAGTACCTCACTACTAGTAATAATTACTTTCCCCAGTCACAAGTAGTGTAACTAATTACTAATACATTTCAGTAATAATATTACGGTTACAATCCCCCAAAAATGATTACTTAGAATATTACTTTTGATAGGAGTTACTATCCCAACTGTTTATTACATACATATTTTCTTTAAAACTCTGGCCACTGTCTTTCTGAAACTGATCCTGAATGTTACCTGAGGGTTGGGACAGGAAGGGTCAAGTAAGACTCACCTCCTCCTGTTTGGCCTCTGTGTTCTGTTCCATGTCCTCCAGCACCAGGTCTGTCTTCTGCTGTACGATGCTGACTGAACACCATATAGCAGGAAGAGCAGGACTCAAGATTATTTACGTCTTGTACACATAACTGGAAATCTAAATGTCTGAAACGTTTAAGTTTCATTTTTTGTTCATATTCTGGAGTTGATGGATATCTGACACTTTATTGGCAGGGCTTGTTTTGAATCTTGAAAAACAAATGAATCTTTAAACTTTAACTTTAAAAATGCAATATACAATTGGTGTTTAGATTACACACATACAGAATACAGATTTTATATTTGGACATTTCATGACTATTTAATAGACTCATTGATTGATTGATTGATTGATTGATTGATTCCTGTTCCCAGCTATTTCAACACAACAAAAACAACAACAAAGCACTTTTTCCAACTGATGTATTTATTCTCATGAACACACAGCAAAATACTTGAATGAGTTGCACTGTCTGCATTTAGTTAGCTGCCTTTATATTATCATCAGCAAAAAAAAAAGCCTGTAAACATGCAAAAGTTGTCCTGAACTATTGTCAGTTCAGATTCCAAAGTCTCTGCAACTAGTAGCTTATGTGAGTTTCCAGTATGAAGTAGCACTGACGGCGGAATAATCACAGCTTTAGCTGATTTGGAACCAGTCTGTCCCTGCAGTTACTTTACTGCTCCGTGGATTATTTAACAGGGCAGTCCAATAAAGACTTACCGGCATGTCACAATTTACTCTGTGGTACAGAAACTTGTGTTGTTTTGTCTGCCACTGTATATTCATTGTTAGAGAAAGTCAAAGAGGCTATTGGGGAGCACCAATTTATGCAATCTCATACAATCATTTTGTTCCAAACATGTTAAAATATGTTTCAATCAGACATTTAAAAAACATCATATTTTTATTTTTTTAAGAAATGTTGGGTAGAGAAAAGTTACTTGTGCATAATAGCTGTACAAAACCTGAAAGCACTGCAGATTTGTGGAGCAGCTTTTTATCACATGAGGTGTACAAACTGCTCCGTCTGTCTGTCTGTCAGTCTGTCTGTCCTTCACTCAGTTAAAGATTTTCTGTAGCTGTCAGTGTCAGTGTGAGCAACTCTGTCCCGCTCTTCCTTCTCCTTTTATTTTAAGGGGCTCTTGCCGCCTTTCCCCCCTGAAACAGAAGGAGAAGAGCAGCCCGGTTAGAGTCCGCCTCACCACTGACACCAGCCCCTGCCAATCAGTACACAGCTAACCTATCAACCAATCAATCAATTCATCCATGCATGTGTTTCTGCAAAAAGGAACTTAACACAAGACTGACACCTGTGAGTGAGAAGTGAGAAGTTGTGTCTGTGGCATCTGTACATTACCTCTATATTTTATCTGTATATTAACAGGAGCCAGCTGCCAACAACTATGTGGAATTAGTCTCTAAAATATCAGTGATGCTGATTCCCAACCTCGGTAGATCCTAATGTTCATGTGAAAGCAGTGGAAAGGTGGTACTTACCGTTCTGCACCTCGTCACCGCTTGCATCCTGCACAAGGGGAACAAATAATGTAACAACACATTCAGTGATGGTCTCCTAACTGGAATGTGTGAGAGATAAAACACAGCGACTCACCTGCTTCTGTACAGGCTGAGGCAAAATGCGTTCAATCCCACTGACGATCCAGCCCACCATACTGTCAAGACAACACCGAGCTGTTAGACCAAATCAAACCCTTTCTGTCGTAGATCCTCAAATACCAGCTGGTGTATCACACATTATGTTTGCTTCTTATAACTAGTGTGATATTGCTCGTTAGCTTGGTAGCTATCATAAAATTGGCCACAATATAAGATTTTATATGGTTTGTAGCTAGGGTTACTACATTCAGTGTGAGAAAATAAGAATAATAAAATAATATACTGCAGTCAGCCACCAGGGGGAGATAGAGAGAGACTCGATACTGCAGTCAGCCACCAGGG